AATCATTACAACTACGAGTATACCAAGTGTTAGCCAATAGATATTATTAAACTATACGTCCGTCATACTAGGCTATGTTTTAGGCAATATTAAGTTAAACCCGTTTGAATGCCAATCTATCCCGAATGGTAATCGGCCGGATTACGAAAATTCCCTTTAATTCGCTAATAGTTGTAAATCGGGATATGCCCAAACTTAATTTGTCAAATCAGTACGCGATGTGGTAACAGTGTAACACCCACTCTGACTGTAATACTGAAATCCAAGGTGGAATTAGAGCCTAGAGTTGCCGGCATCAATTCGAGTTAATTTGCGCGGCCCGTCGAAGATTTACACTAATGTCTACCCACGAAAACCGACTGCGAGCACATGTGGCACATATACATTCTCACGTGTGCGAAGTTTGCACTATCACCACTAGTACTAAGCGAATGTGTAGTAAAGTTTACATTAGACTTACATGAATAATGCCATCGCCGCAATACCCGCCGGTAAACATGTAATGCCAAACCATTCAAACAACGAACCACGTCCACTGTGAATATCCCGGCGTTATAGTGAGATGCTGTAGAGTAGTGTAGAGGATTTCATCGGCAGTTATAATTGACGCGATAGAACGCCAACTATTTATGCGGTATTTGATGTCATTGATTATCGCGCAATCACAGATTCGATTCACGAGCAAATCGCGAGCAATTAACGACATCAATTTCCACGGCGAATACAAAAGACCGATTCATGCTGGAATAAGCAAACATGTTCAACTTGAAATTCGCGTTGATTTCGAATTGCATGAATCACTCGATTCAAATTGATAGCTCTGCTCGTGAATTACAAATAAGATAAATACTCGCTCATGTTGCGTATACTGATACTGAACACAGTCTAATGTCATGCGGTGTATTAATATATAATTATCTTAGTGTTACGGGTGCAGCATATGTGAATACATCATTAATTCCACTTTAACACCACTGTTCAGTCATTTTGCATCTTATTATATTTTGAGGCGTTTACGCCAGTAAATATTAATTTATACAAGAAATTATTTGGTTTTTCACGGTTTTGATAAAGAAAAAGTGGTACTTTATACACGGTCGTGACTAAAGTACTTTAGCCACGGGTTTTAGTCACTGGACGGAGTTTACGACTGAGATTTTTTTAATTTCATGTTCTTCTGTATCTAATAAGGTTGTAATGTTAATTTAGCATTAAATTAAACAAAAATTATTACAAATTTACAGGAGGTTTAATAAATTCATAAAATTAGCTATGCTACAGCCGCATAATAATTTTCTCCAGCAATAAACGAATTGTGTAAAAGCAAATTTAGTCATTTCCGAGCTTCATTTTATAGACTTGTGCCAGTTCAGCTCGTTGCTCATTTGCTTAATTATTGTGAGAGAATTTAATAGAAATTCCCTAGACCTCCACGAATAATTCAAGACCAAGATAAGATAAATCCGTTCAGCCGTTCTCGAGTTTTAGCGAGACTAACGAACAGCAATTCATTTTTATGTATATAGATAGATGATAGATGATTATTGCCATAAATATTAATTGTGCTCTAATAGGCACATGGTGCATCTGATTAAAATCCACTTAAGACCAATAATCACAATCATAAACTCCAAAAAAAAAAAGAATATAATTGCCCTGTATAATTGCGTTTCTAATTATACCTACTTCTCGATGTCACATATGAACTGAAAACGGTAATTTCGAAAAGCCCTACACTACCCACTTAGTATTGTGTATTTGGGAATACACATAATGCCCTAAATATAGATCGCACATTGTAAATTATTTGCACAGTCCTGACTTGGTCGCGTGTGTCAGGATTCGCTGCCATCGGCGCTGAATCGACGCCAAGCGCGCTTCCCGGAAACATGGCGTACCAGGGCGCGCAGCTTGTGTGCCAGTGCCAGCCGACGGTGCGGAAAATGCGAAACGTCGACAATGATACGAAACGCGCCACAAACCGAAGAACATCTCTTCCTGTAGACGCACACACAATCCAACCACAATCTAGATCAAGCCATAAGGGTGCAAATATATTACAGAGAGCGGAAAATTAAAAATTCAGGTCAAGGTGGTTTAAAAATAAATCAAATTCAATTCTGATTGTGAGATAAGCACGCACAAAGCCGAAAATGTTAAAATCAATAATATTACTCAACTTTTTCGTGTTAAATTCCAAAAATAAAAAGATTAATATTATAAATACTTAAAACATACATTAAAATTACCTACTTGCATAAACATGTAATTTAACTTTGCAAATTACCAACATGTAGTATGCTTGCTATGCACTCTAATTTCCACCTTTATTTATCATTTACTTTTACACCCTCGCGTCGAAAATTAAATTTCCTCCAGGTCGTTTGCACCTCGCCTGTAATGCTTAAAACTCGCTCCATAGTATGTTTAGTTGTGCCCGACGTAATGGTGATTGTATCATTGGATATGCGTTAATAGGGCATCGGACGGTCGCGCGTTTGCTAATTAACTCGGCGAGAGAGCAAGCGCCGCGCACTTCCTGGTCGACGGAAATTAACGGCTAACGGTTGGATTAAATGGGTCAGGTGATAATTTGACGACACGTCTACCGGCAGAGCACTTTGATGCGGATTTCATGTAAGTACGGAACGGGACAAGACCCAACACGGTATAAGCACCATGTTTGTGTGTTCCGAGTGAGGTTATGTGCGATATTGTACAACGTGAAATTCAGTCATACATCACGTCGTTTGCACGACACAACGCAGACATGTTAATCAAGGTACTAATTGTCATTGACTGGTAATTTCACCCCTCGATGAATGAAACAATTTCTAATCAAAGTTTTTTTTAAAGTTTTTAAAAGTAAAACTTTGTTTCTTGCTTAAAATTTCACTTTCTCTTGGTGTACAAGTTCGTAACGACACTTTAAAAGTCCAGACGTGATTTCAGTAACTATTCATGACGCCCCAGCAAAACACAGACTCAGAGACTAAGTCCCGGTCGGTTTTGCCGATTTTAGTACGTCGTTGAAGGAGAAGGCAGTCTCGGGAGTACTAAAATATATGACCGCACAAAGAAGAATGGGACTTTTTTCTAGAAAACATTGCGATACTTGCGGGACTACTCGCGGTACTTAGGAAAGTATCGAATGACTCGTCGCCGGGTAATATTTTGCACAAAGTACCGGAAAGCACGTAGTACACAACCAACGCGTGTGCTCCGCATCGTATATTTCCTTAATTGACAGATTTTGAACACAGACTTCAATCATTGCAAGTGCTTTCAATGTTCGTCGTTTTATTTGACCGTGTTAACAATAAAGTTGTTGCACAGGCATAGTATAAATGATCACGTCCGCCATGCACAGGTTTAAAACATGAAATCCTGTGACTGTGGAGGTTTTATGGGTCAATCCGTGTCTACACAGGCAAGACCCTCGCCTTTTTTTGTTTTCACTCGACGCACAGTCGAATTTCGCATCGCCGCGTGAACAATCAATCGCAGAATACGCACCGGGCACGTTTTAGTGAACAAGCAATCCGGCGACGCGACATGTTGTCACGTAATGTTTGCACTTACTGTTTGGTCATCGCAGCTGGACAGATAGACTTAAAACACGAAAACCGATACGCATTCCAAATTTACTAACCCGCAATAAACCACCCTTGGATAGTATCTCTGGAATTTGTGAGAAAATTGAAATCATATGAATGTAATGATCCCCATGAACAAATTAAGAGCTTACGGGAGAGGGTCAGCAAACTACCCGGTAAAGTAAGCTGAGTGTTTAGTTAACAAACGTTGGCTGCTGGATTTTACCGAATCTTCCCCGATGTTATCAATACGTGGGGGTAATAATAGAATTCTGCAATAACAGCGAATTTCGTAGGGAATGCGGGTGTGTGGTAATAAAGGTTTATTTGTCCAGCTTTATTTGATTTTCCAAAAATGTAATGTTACGATAATTATGTGAGAAGTGAAGTAAATATTTAAATTTCATCAATATATATATAAAAATGAATTGCTGTTCGTTAGTCTCGCTAAAACTCGAGAACGGCTGAACGGATTTATCTTATCTTGGTCTTGAATTATTCGTGGAGGTCTAGGGAAGGTTTAAAAGGTGAGAAAAATTCGAATAATTGCCGGGAAAATCCTCAAAACAGCTCTTTTCTATAGAATAAAATTTGACATTGAGATTCAATCATAGTTATAGTTAAATAGTTGAATTCGAGATGGCGCGCTGAAGTGCATTATTGACAAAACTTTATATAATTAATTTCTTTAAATTAAAATTGCTAATCTTATTGATAGAATTGACTCTTACTACGAGTATGTCTAGAACAAGAGAGTAAAAACGAATTACATTTTTATTAAACACTGCCGGAACGAAGTCGCGGGCAACAGCTAGTGAAATATAAAAATAAAATTTAATGTTTTGTGACTTAATTTTGCACGTTTGAATTCAAGGTGACTTTGTAATAGAATTTAATGTAAGTTAGTCTATTTTACGCCAATAACTTATTTTTATCATTTGGTTATTCAATCAATACGCAATATAAAATTCAAACGCGAAATGTGTTCCCTAGAAATTTAAAAATAAATATACCACTCTGGAAGTTTGCATTTCCAGTTTATTTTGAAACGAGTTGAATACATCCCAGCCCGCCCGCCGCTATAAAACTTTTAATGCGGTTTTGCGACTACGATTATTAAAACTTATAAATAGCCGCAGAAGTGAAATTGCAGAAATCACGTTCTCGAATAACTTAGAAATCACCTCACGACAAACATTAATCTACATCTTCTAGTGACGAAAGATTAGTTTTATATACAATAACATTTTCTCTCGCATGCAACACACGCCTATCACCTTAGCGCAGCGCAGGTCCAAGTTCCGACTCTCTCGGCGTGCATAGCGCGCAATCAAACCACGCTACACACACAAAAACAACACACAAGCGTGTTTGATCGAGTCACGGCTCGCGGCGTTGACTCACCTGTTAATGTGACGGTGTATAGAACCAAACGCAGCGTCGGCGTGCACCTCATTGTGATTGAAAGAGTTTATCGCACCTCTGGCACTAACCACCCACACACTCAGTATCCAAAATCAGAAGATTCGCACTCTGATATCGCAAAGAGTTTTCGTACGATGTGCGCGCAAGTTGAGAAATCAGTCGAGGACACAGCACAAGCATGCGAAGAATACGACGCGCAACGGACGACTGAGAGGCAACACACGCGACACGCACAGCAAGCGAGGCGCGCGGCGAGAGTCGACCGCTAGCAACTTTCCTAACCGGAGCCGACCGAAGTGGTTCGGCTACAATCGACCGGGCATGAACACGCAGGTGGCGGACACCTGTTTGTTTCGAATGCATTCAGTCTATTTGCAACATTAGTTTAAAAACGTACACTATTACACAAAAATACAATTTGTAATCAAAACATACATCATAGAGTTGGTACAAAATAAATTAAAATGTGTATTTGTATTCACATGAAAAGGTGATCAATTCGTGAATATTTATTGTTTGTTGAATATTGGGTGTGTAAGTGGTTGCATATGTTAAATTTATTAACACACCACAACAAAAATAACTTTTAAACCGGATTTAACTTATTTAAATTATCGATTTAAGTGAATGATTTGAATATTGAATACATTACGAGTTAAGATCTCGAAAGATTGCAAGTGTAGGTGCTGGCATTCCAAGCCGAAATGGCTGGAAAGCGCTGAAACGCTGGAACTTGATGAAAGTGTAATGTGAAGTTCGCAACATTCAAAGTAGTCATAATAGCCGCGATCCTGCGATGCCAAGCGGGCGGTATGAGGGTTTTAGGCTGGTGTTCAGCTTAGTTTTAGCGTTTAGCAGTTTAGCATTTTCGAGCCGACGTTAGCCCATCAGGGAATATTCACTCAACTTCAAGCATTTCACTTCACACAAATGAGGACAGAATAAAATGGAATATTTCTAAGTCAGCTTAAAACAAAATTTTTGTATTCTAAAACTAAAAAATATTTTTTAGATTTTTACGATGCGTAAACTTCAAATAATTAACTTGATTTAATATCAAGTGATATATAAAACCGAATAAACATGATTCAAGATCATTTCCAAGAAGTTTTAGTTCCTTGTTCTGGATAATGTTAAATCAACACGCCAACGATGAGATAGTCCCGATGTTGAACCTCGATGCCTTGCTAATGCAACAAATCTCCGTCTGTGAGTCAGCTTTAGCTCAAAGCGAGTTGTCGAACTTGTAGAATGTAGACTGTAGACAAAGCGTCGACGGCGCCGCGACGCCGCCGCCCGAGTACAAACTCGAGAAGAGTACACACCGAGCAGACATCCGAAGCACGCACTTTCGTGTTCAAACACGTGATAATGCTCGTAATCGTAGTGCTAATAAGAAAGTTAACAGTTTACAATCGAATCCAACTCAGATTGCCAGTCGTATTTAAAGCAATCATCGCAAATATTTTGATTTTCTAAATTTCATTAATTCCGCTTCATTCGTGGCATGACATAAAGACGATGGGGATTTAGGGACGGCTCCCTAAATGCAATTGCACACGTCATAAAATTCACAATCAATTTAACCAGTCTCCAAGTTTCTCACAAACCTCATCTGCGTTGAATTCGTAGCTATTTTGAGAGTTTCTGTCAGTGCGTTTGCGTTTACGAATGCACGACATGAGGGAAACGCTATTTTCTAGGGTAGGCGATATGCACGACCAATCTAATTCGTAAATTCGTATGTACCTTCAACTATATCACTGATTCCGATCATGTCTCATTCTTGAAAATTTTTTTTTGCATTTTTTAACTTTTGAAACAATTTACGACTTCACGATGATAAAATATTGTTGTTAAAGATGATATCATACATTTTACTAAAAAATACTCATAAAAAATGCTAAAACTGTAATTTTAAAGCTTTGCTTTGCTTTCATTCCGCATTACCCCATCCCCTAAATTGCATAAACACAGATTCGAGCTATCAAAACGCTGTCTACAGATATAGCCAGTCAGATGTGCAGATATGACGCACAAATGTTCCGAATGTTCTCCGAGTGTAATTCGCAATTCGTTCCGTGCGCCGTGTTTCGCCGATCGATTTGATCGGCCATATAACAATTTCGCATTTTCGCATCTCGCAGCGCATCGATATTAACATTCGCACACGCTGGAGTACGAAGGGAAGATAATTCCAAACCGGGATGGAGCAGTTTATAAGTAATTCGGCACGGATCGTCGAATTCAAGCACGAATTTCAGAGCGCATCGATAAGAGCCATCAAATCAACGCACACAAAGCCGATTTTCGTTTATCTCAACACAAACTGCTAACTGAAACATAAAATATAAAATTATTTTCATCATTTTCAGTTTCATCACGCCAAAAATAAATAAATATACATTTAATCTATTATTTTCCAATTACAGCAAGTAATTGCAGCGTTGTGCAAAGCGTAAAGCGCTTTCAAACACATTTTAAACGTTTCTGAAGTACGTGTACGCGAATACGCGTTAAAAAGCTACGAATTGCGATTCTGCAAATACTCTGCACTCGTTTGAAATTCGTTAATTGCGTTAATTGATCTCTTCGCTAGGACCCAAAGACTTATGCGCGCGAATTTAGCGCTTTAATTACCACCTGTCTGTTATCAAGTGTTTTTAGGAGCGTAATTATCAGCTACACCTCTTCTAGCGATACAGCGCGATGAGAAGACTCCATTGGGAAACGCGCACGAAAATTATACGCATGTTAATTGCTTGTTGAACATTAGATGATAAAGAAAAAGAGTAATTAGGTTAAAACATTATGGTTAATTTAAGAAGATAAACAGCTATTCACTTTTAAAAACGTCGAATTACTGCGCATGCGCAATAGCACCAAATTAATGTATATTGAACTCGCACGTGTGCGTCATGTGTCAATGACATGTCTTTATATAATAAAGAAATAGAGGAGTCTGAGATTAGATTTCGGGGTTTTTTTGTTGTGACATGATAATAAAACCGACTTTGACTGGATGAAGAGTCATCCTGATACATATACAATATATTATACACACTTGCCGGCTCTTATCCGGCCATCTTTTCCCATGCTTCACGCGTTGTGTGCCCATGTTACAAGTCCATATAATCCTAATCGGATGGCTTGTTACACACAAGCTGACAACAGGACAACACAACAGGGTGCAACAACAGAGCGATGGCGATAGTTGGCGCGTGATATAATTGTTGTAGTCGTGGCGGGCTTCGTCGCGTCGCTAACTTCGGCTGCATATTGCCAAAGCACAAACCATGGTTTACTTAACGCCCTTTTGAGGGATTGTGCGGCTCGTGCCTTTTGTGCACGCGGCCATTCACGCCACTGATGCAACACAACTATTCGGTGGTTGTTTACCCCAATTTCCGATTTATATACATCACAATGTGACTTTGCTTTCAATGGTGATGTGTATAAACTGAAACTTAATATTTTATAACTTTTTAAGTTTTTCTGAAATTTATTTGAGAGGAAAATAAATTTTTTGGATGAAAAATTGTCTGGATTTTGATAAAGCAATTTACGTTGGCCTTTGGTGAACTGCATCGGGTATAAGGGTTCATGCGACCCTCATTTTTCTCTAATGCTTTAATTGCATGTGCGTAAACACACGCCACGCTATTATTATCCGCCTGCGCATATGTCCATCTCAGGACCGGCGAAATCCTCATCCGCCCTCAGCGTCATACCCACGCGGGGCACACGCACACACTCCGAACGGCGTCGATGCTATTACTGACTGTTACAGTTTTAATGTGGATTTATGACCCATCGGCCCGTCGTGAGGCACAAAATTTATATGCCTTGTCGATGTGACGTTACATTCGATATTTTGCTATGGTCTACATTTCATGCACTTGTATATTCTGCTCATAATATTCGTGTTTATAAAACACTAGCTTTAACCCGCGGCTTCGCTCGCGAATATCTAAAATAATGAAGTTGCTTCCGTACGCGTGTGTAGTAACAGAAGAAGTAACAATGAAGTAGAATGGCGGGAAGTTTAAAATGACTGAAAGTATAGTCTATGGAAGTATAGTGTACAGTCTCCATAGTGTAGTCAATTGGATTTGATGTTGACGTAGCTGTACTTGCAATCGACAGTTTGTTTGTGGAAAATGATTATACCTGATTAAATTTGTTTTCATTACCGTCCATTTCATATCACTCATCCACTAGTGTTTATGTTTTATAACTCTGTCAATGTCTGCCATTCTTTGACTGTATTACAAAATCCAATTTTGCTCACATCGTCAAATTAAATTGATCAACACTACAACTGTGTTGCTTTCATCAGCAAATTGAACTAATAATTGCCTGCAAAACTCCATTTCATTTAGCATCAATCTATTTTTGATTAAACAAACACAAAAGTTTTAGTTTTAGTTGTTGAATGTAGTTAAGATTTATCTCTTGATACAGCGTATCTTAACTATAGTCTTTGATTAGTTGTTGATCTATGATATAACATCTAAATTATGTTCCGCTGTCGTTTTAGTTAGGGGATGAAAACATTCAGCACTTGCAGATGTAGAAAATAGTGTGTAATGTAATATATAACCGAACGTGATTGTAGGAGGGCGCATTAGGTATAATCGAGTGATTCCATTTCTCATTTACTAAATGCATTAGAAAATTGCCTTTTTTAGCTTTGTAACTCAGACGGAACTATAAGTGATAGCAACAAAACCCTTGTCTTGTGAAATATACTAAATAAATTTACAATAAAACTTAAAATAATGTTGAAATCACTTTAATATTACATAGTTTTATAGTACATATGAAATTCGTGTGCATTTAGCTTTCAGCTGACCGTAACTGGACATAGGCAACTAAACATACATAACGTACACGTAATGTAGAGAAAACTGAACAAAAATTAGTTTTCAGTTGAAAATACGATGTATCCAAGCACAACAAAATATTCTACCAACAATTCTGTAAGTAAAACATAAATGCTTTTAACAATATTTGTATAAGAGTTAGTGTAATGCAATAAAACGATTTAAGGGTGTGACATGAGCATTTGTTGCACTTGATACACAAAATGAACATAATGCACAAATGTTCACTTTGGCAAAAGTGGTGCAAAACTAAACAAACAAAACCAACCGCACCATAAGAACATAAAAAATATTTTGTGGAGACACTTAAAATGTAACACATGTCACATTTTTAGTTAGCAATAGAAGTATTGCACTAATAACTTATTTTTTTATATTTTTATTAGAATTGGATAATATTTCTCATACAAATTTTGCAAATCAAAACATTTTTAATCCTAAAAGTAGAATTAAAAGCTTCGATGTTTTCATATGCTATTTGGTTTTAATTAAATATAATTATCCAAACATAAATAATTAACCCCGCATGAATATTATCATGATATTGATAAATTGATTATTCGCAACAAAATAATACCTAGTTATTTGTAGTTTATTTAATCTGCAGTAATATTGGAATCTAAAAATTAAAAACAGCTTTCAAAGGGTTTTCAAAACCTTTCTTAAAGTAATTTCCTAAAGTACACTAATAAATATTCAACGTCCAACTCATAACTTAATTGATGTCATTTTAAAATGGATTAAAATGCATTTACCCTAACCCTTAATAACCTCCTCCAGCACCTAAATAAATACGCAACAAAAACGTTCCGCATTCATAAATTTCACTTTTGTATTACCTACTCGGTATCACTATTATACAGCGGCACATTCCACCCCTCACCCCTCATGCCCAAAATGTTTCAATAGCGTCAATCTATTCATAACGCGAAGTGGAGATCCGTTTCTGTTACGTAAACATGATTAACACGGAGCACTTTCGTTGATTTCGCAACATGTGCACAATAAGGGGTTGGTGATAAGGGTAGCAATGCGCACGTCTCCATTCGTCTGTAATAAGCTTAATAACTGCGTCGCGCTTCGTGATATTCTGATGTTTTATTAAATAAATACGTTTAGCCTTTATTATGAATTCATCCCTCTCAACACGCATACGTATTTTAAATCAACACCACCGCCATTGGGGAGTGTGTGTGCCTGTGTAGTAAAACTCGAACGCATAAGCAAACTAAACGTTGGATTATGTTATGAGACGAGTCACGAGCGTAGAGATGTATAAAAGTACAGTTGAAATTTAATATCACGAACATTTTCGGTGGTGAGTGGCGCATGGTGAATGAGGTGAATATATTTAACCGCGAACCGAGTCAACCGAATATCATATTAAGTATATGATCGGGGAAGAAAGTCTTTATTTAGGGCAAGGGTTGCCAAACGCATGAAAACTACCCTTAAATTTTTGATAAAACGTATTATAAAGACTTAGTAAATATTTAAAAACATTGTGAACTAAATACCATTGAAAGTTTTGTTTCAATAGTTGAAAATTGAGGTTAAATTTATTTTTAAGCTTTGAAATTAAAGTTTTGTAGGTTGGGTAGACTACATATTTAATTTTCAATTATTAATATTAAATTTTCGGTGCGTCTCACCTTTAAATATGAACTGTTGACAAAGGGGATGAAAGAGATATAAGCAAGTTATTTAAAATATCAAGATTTAAGATCGTGCTGCTGTTGGCGCCGCAGGGGCAACAAAGTGGTATTTCTCATCACCGCGCCGCCATCAACCCCTATCATCCCTTGTTCATTTTCGGCAACAAACGGAGCGTGGCCAGTTTGTCACGGGCGTTTTAAACGTGGAATAATTCATTATGCTAAGTGCTTGGTGTTGTTAAATTACTATTAACTTTTAATTTTAATTTTAATTAATTGAATTGCACCATTTTACATTTAAATTAAGATTAGCAGTTGACCATAGAAACAAAGTTGAAAATTTTAAATGTCGATTACCTGCGTTGACAATTTACAATTTGCTTCTAGTTTGCACGTTGTAAAGATAATAATTCAATTGAAGGTTTTATATTTTACAACTTTTATATTATACGATAGACATGATACGCTTTAAAAACCTATTTTAAGTTAGGCAACCCAACATACACTTTAGTTATATTCTGTCCTGCAAAAATTTCAGTTTTCACGTCAAAATAAACCGGAAGTTCATCAGTGTTTACGACTGTGGTATAATATCTAATCTCTTTATAATCTCTAAATTAATATTTGCATTTATTATGTTATTAAACAAAATGTATGTAATTTAAATAATTGGATACAATTTTGTTTTTCCAAATAAAAGAAAAACTTCCTTTCATTCGCTATTCATGAATAAATATGCACCGGAAATAACATATATATTATAAACTTAATCAAATTTGATCGCATTTAAAGCCAAACTTCACTGTGTGCTTACAGTTACAGCTGAACAAGATGTTCTTATTTTTGATCACTATATTTTTAATCAAAACATCACTTATCGTAAGTTATTCAAAAAACATAACTTTTAATTTATTAACATTGCGTATTTTAGTCTTGTGGTGTTTTTCGTGATGTAATCGACGACATATACTACGCGCAAAAGCTCTGTCACGATTTATACACCGACAATTCCGAATTACAAGCTTGTTTACATGAAGGTCTTATGGATAAACTTCATCTGCTTGATGCAACTGGTAGAAATATCCAACTGCCAAGAATGCATGCAATATATCGTCCAATTGCCACACAATGCGTTGAAATGTCTCAAACTTACTATCAAAATGAGTTTTCTCAAAAATTCCTACCTTGCTTCCTAGAACAAGCTGCTAAGTATTTTAGAGAGAAAGAATTGGAATGCGATCAAATGTATCCATTGGATGGTAATGACAGAACATTTGAAACAATGGAGGAAATGATTGAAAATAATAAAAACGTTGCGTGTCGATACAGTTGCGCTGCGGATATTAGGAGAATCTTTACAGAAAACGACGAGTTTAATCAGGACTCTCTGAGAATGAATTCGAATGTTCCGATTGATATACAAGAAGCAGCAGAATTGTGCTACGAGCAACACCAGCAAATTGACAGGTGTAAAAGGAGAGCTTTTAGGGTGAAATGTTTGCGAAAAGCGTATCAAGAGGCGCTGTATGCTAAAAATAAACCGGAAATCGTGGAAATTAACTTTGATGAAGGCGAAGTTTATCATTAATTAACTGAAGATGCAAATTACTACAACATAAACATTTAAAACTGTTAAATTGTGAAATTATTTGCTAATAAATCAATGCTTATTACTTATGTTGGAAACCATAGATTTTCTATTTATAAACAATGCATTATTATTTTGTTTTACAATTGTAAATCTATAAAATTAAGCATTGAACTCATTTTATATAAGTTTTTTATATTTTTAGAATACGTGCGGATGTCTGTATCAAAATTCATTTATACATATTTAAATGGAAGACGAAACTATTAGCACCGGTGAAGCAGTGCATTGCCTTTTTTATTTTATTTTTTACAACAAAAAAAATGAAAATAATACACTTATCATATTAATACTAATTAATGATCCGTGAACTGATAGCCACAGGTAAATTACATCTAACAATATGCATTAAAACGACCGGAAACAACAAATTTATAAGATTTTTCTAATACTAAATAAATTCAATGTAATTTATGGTTTGTTATCACTATTGGTGTGACATCGTACCAAACAAGATGAATCTTATTTCCATCACAATTTTGATACTACAAGCATTATTGACAGTAAGTTCTTATTATAAAATAAAATTAATCGTATTTGTCAACTTTGTTCAACATTGTAGAATTGCCATGTATTTCGTGATGTAATTCATGAAATTTTTGACGCACACAAAAATTGCTACAAAACAGACAGACTGAGACCAATGAGTTGCGAGGAAAATGTGTGCGTATTGCAAGAAGTACATCTCATAGATAATACCGGAAAGAACATCAACATGTCAAGGATGCACGCACAATATCGCCCTTTTGCAGAACTTTGCATCCAAGAGTCACAATCACATACGACTTCGACGTGCGATTTTTTTCACAAATTTGTGGAATGTTTTTGGGACAAAGTTGCACATTATCAAGGGGCTAAAGTTACTGATTGCGACACTAAGTATCCAATTGATCCTGCTGAACAGGATCACTTATTCGACATGTCAGAGAAAGCGTTTAAGACTCTAAAAAACTATGCATGCGCCTTTAGCTGCGTCAATGAAATTAATGAGATATATACAGAAAACGATGAATTCAATAAAAATTCTCTAAGACTCCATTCGAATTTACCGATTGATGTGGAAAAGGAGGCTGAAAATTGCTACAGGAAACATCAGCAAAAAAATAAATGTCAAAGAAGGGCCAATAGAGCTGCGTGCTTAAACAGGAAATATGAGAAAGTTCTTGAAGCTTCAAATATAACCGGATATGAGAATTTAGTTGATGAAATTTATGACTGATTGTAAAAAACGTTGTTGCTCATAACCAATATCTAAATTAATTAAATAAATATGCAATTTTAAGACTTTTGTCTTTTTTTATTAAATTATCTCTTATTTTGGGAGTTTTTTTTTAATTTTTGATTATTTTGTTGATTAAAATTGCAATAATTAACAAATTAAACAGAAATAAAACACCTTGAGTAATTAATACCAAAAGTGCATTATATTACGTTATAAACCGAGAAACGTGTGTCACGTCACGCTAGTACATTCATTATTAAATGATGTGTAATATAAAAATTTACATAAAATAAAAATGTACCGGAAATAATAAAAATGTGAAAAGTGTAAATAAATAGATTGAAATCCACAGCTGATGATCACTTTTGCATTGAACTGCATCAAATACAGCATGAATCTCCTTTTAATATCATTCTTGTCAATTCAAGCATTATTTGCTGTAAGTTACCTACATTAAATTAATATAATTAATAATTATTTATAATAATAATTAATTATCTAGCGTTTATTATTTCAGCGCGCACATTTGGGAGTGTTTCGTGATATACAGAAAGAAATTTACGAAGCACAAGACGTTTGCTACAAAGGGCGTCATAGAAACGTGCCTTGTGACCAAGATGAGTGCGTTATGAAGAAAATATACCTATTGGATAACACTGGAATGAACGTCAATATGTCAAGGATGCACGCATCATACCGTTCTGTTGCTACCGAATGCATCAAGGAAGCACAATCGTCTTCCACATGTGAATTTTCGGGCAAATTTATTCAGTGCTTTGTGAAGCGTAACTCTGATTCTATATCGAAACACTACGATTCATGCCAAATGAAATACCCGATAGATCGTAGTGGCGAGGTCCCGCTTGATATGTCAGAGGAATCCTTTAAAAAATTAACCAATTATGCATGTCTCATTGAGTGCAACTATGATACACAAAAACTATTTACAGAAAACGACGATTTTAATATAGATTTGTTGAGGCTTCATTCGAATCTACCGATTGATGTGGTAAAGGAGGCCGAAAATTGTTGGAAACAACATCAGCAGGAAGACAAATGTCAAAGGAGAGCCAACAGGATTTCGTGTTTATCTGGAAAGTATCATGGTGCAAATAAAAATCCAGATTTGATACCGTTTGAGACTTTGGTTAATGAAATTTACGAGTAAAGTGATAATAATTTTTAAAAGATTGTCATGTATCCGCAATGAATAACAACATTCAAAGAATAAATTGAAATATCAAGTATCAATATATGCAACACACAATACACCGGCATGTGAAATAATTGTTTCATTCTTATAATGCATAATGCATGATATATAAAAATGTCTTGAATTATTCGTGGAGGTCTAGGGAAGGTTTTAAAGGTGAGAAAAATTCGAATAATTGCCGGGAAAATCCTCAAAACAGCTCTTTTCTATAGAATAAAATTTGACATTGAGATTCAATCGTAGTTAGTTATAGTTTAATAGTTGAATTCGAGATGGCGCGCTGAAGTGCATTATTGACAAAACTTTATATAATTAATTTCTTTAAATTAAAATTGCTAATCTTATTGATAGAATTGACTCTTACTACGAGTATGTCTTGAACAAGAGAGTAAAAACGAATTACATTTTTATTAAATACTGCCGGAACAAAGTCGCGGGCAACAGCTAGTGCATGATAAAAAAAGATTCGCGCAAAAATAGAAGAATAATTGTTTTGAGAATTACAATATAATGCTTGCAAAATATAAATATTTTATGATTCATAATGTATGTCTTTCAAAAGACGAATAATTGCTCAATAAAATTAAAATTGCACTTTTATTTCAAGCAGGTCAACTTAATTTTTATTTTCAAACACCATCCAAACCATGCCAAGCACTTTTTTTTTATCAAATAAGCAATATCAGTGAATGTTTAATACTTCAACACCAATGTCGTCGTTTTGCATCAATTTACAATACATTTTAAACTATTTTAATTGTAAATTCAAAACAGCACTCATTACCATTATCCTTCTTCAACAAACACTTGACATTGTATTTGCTTGCAGGAAATAATTCTCAATCGTTAAATTGTACGAAAATGAATTCGTCTGTCCAGAAACAGTGGGGCAGGTCGTTGAGTGACAACCATCAGTATCCATTCCCGGCAGAGGAATATCAATATTGAAACTGTTTACCCAATATAAACGAGCTTCCAACTGATCAGCAACAAAATCCGGTTCAAACTCGAATTGCAATTGACCAGTAGCGCCTTTCTTGATTTTACAGGGATTCTTCTTCGAAACATTAGGGCAAGGCGATAAGCTCACGGATTTCACGCCGCAGTTAACAGATTTATCTTTACCTAAAAAGATAAAATTAGATTTATTGCGGAAATGTACATATAAAAAATGTGTGATGAGTAATGTGATTGTTGACCGCATGCTGTTAATTAAAATGCGCTCAGTGTTGATTCGTGCGGGTGCTGGCAATGGATTTAGATTTAATGGAGATAACTAGCATGACTTCCTTTCAAACGTGTTGTAGTGTAGAATAAATTACAGCAATCATCACTCTAACGCGTACTTTACGTAATTTAAACAAAAAACTTAAAATTCCGAAAACTGTTATCGCAGTGAAAACGATAGTACAAACAGCATAGTGGCAAAAACATCAACACAATATCCAATTGCATATATACAGAGCGTATAAAAACATATATTTAACTAAAATTGATAAATAAACATTTATCTTACCACATTGCGAGAAGTCGATGTTTTCAGCAGCGACCACAAACACGAACGCCAATAAAACCACAAAGCGAAACATTTTGCCCGAAAACACACCTGAAATTATTAATAAATTTAACAAATCGCCTCGGATGCCTCAATTAATTAGTATGGTTTACCCTAGTCGTGGTTTTACAGAAATACTGAGTTATTGCCACTTGCGTTCACTTCGGAAGTCGACTCGCGAATATCGTCCGATCGCGCAATCTTTTCCGAGCCAGACCCAAGACCTTCGAACCCACCGCACACCACAAAGCCGCTTATTGTTTGCTGGTATTGTTAAGCGCATTATTCAGGTTTGGGATATCCGATACGTCTATAATGTATGTGCGGACTTCTGTTGCTAATTTGTTTGCAATAGATAAGCAAAATAATGGAACATTTTACACATATTTATATTTATTTTATTATCGGCACTAATCTAATATGCAAACAAAGAATCTCGAAATTATTTAGTAATTTTAATTCGGTAAATAAAACAGCATTGTTGAGTCTCCTCATCGTTACCCTTAAGCACCCATTTGACGTCATAGGTACTCAATGGGAAATAAGTTGCGATTTCTAAATCATATCTATATGTTTGTTTCACTCCTGAAACAGATGGACAAGTCGTTGTTTTGCATGCGTTTGTTTCCATTCCAGCCAGAGGTAGATCCATGAATCCATTGGGCCAGTACATCTGTACGTGCATGCCCTCTGTGACGAACTCTGGTGTAAAGTCAACTTCAATAGACGCGGTTTTTTTCTTTTGGAATTTGCAGGGCTGAGGAGGATCTTTCAGTGCTTCTTTGCAAGGTGTGATTCTGGCTTCGTTTACCACACAGTTCTTGACTTCGTCAGGGCCTTAAAATTCATCATTAGAATTAATTATTAGAAATAAAATTGTAAAAATACACTTACTGCATGAGTGTCTAGAGACTATTTCTCCATCGACCTGAGAATGAGAATGGGAAAAAGCGAGCACAGCGCAAATAAAAACGAAAAATTTCATTTTAAAATTTTTATGGAGTTGAAGACGTACTAGGAAGAAAACTAGTCGGCAGTCGACTGAGACGAATGTTGAAACAGATCGGTCCGAACGAAAGAAAACCTCGCATGAGGGTCAAATGTCATCAAATGATAAGATAAGTAATTGTGTCGTCGTATTCGCATTGTGTGCGAAACTGTTTACTTAATAAATTGTTCACTACATAAAATATTTTCTATTTATTTTATCCTTCATTGATTAGATTCTTGAGATTTCGATTATTTCTTGGTATCAAGCAATAATTTTAATTACGAATCAAAAAATAACGTAAAAATCGCGTTGATAAACTTTGTTTGAAATTCAATTTATTAAATGCTTGCTTCATTCGCGTTTAATGAATCTCGTGACTAAAATGTCTTTTAGCGCACTTGATTCTTAATATATTATTAATAAAGTACGTCCAAACCGTATATGACAAATTAATCACATGGGCGTTAAATATCGCTTCCATGTTTACGCCGAGGTAATTAAATTATGAGTTTGACTAAGGTATTTAACCTTACATTTCCTACTAGTGTGCAAAGTCCCTTCGTAGTTTAAAAACAATTATTAAAGACAATAAACCCACATCAAAACATGGAAATGGATATAGAAGAAAACATAACTTGCACATCTCCCGAGTTGCAAGAATTTACGCCGTCAACCCTTTCGAGTGTGCTTCCTGCACATTCAGAAAGACAATATAATAAAGCCTATGATACTTTTAAGAGCTGGCAAGAACAATCACACATGGAAGACATATCAGAGAGTGTTTTATTGGCATATTTCACATCACTGTCACAGAAAATGAAACCATCATCTTTATGGGCTATTTATTCTATGTTAAGAAGGACAATTTATCTAAACGACAAGGTTGACATATGCAGTTATACCATCCTTCGAGCATATTTGAAAACACAAAATGTTGGATACAAACCACAGGTGTATAGAGTCCTTTCTGCTAATCACATCAAGGAATTTTTAGCATCTGCACCTGATTTTATTTATTTATTTACCAAGGTTGGTGTAATATTTGGCATTATGGGTGATTGCCGAAGGGAGGAATTTCTGAAAATTGAAAACAACCATGTCACAGATGTCAATACAGCTTTAATAGTCAATATTCCAAATACAAGAACAAACACTGGACGACAATTTGTCGTTGGAGATGACTATTACCAAATTTGTAAAAAATATATGGCGCTGCGACCGGCTAAGGCGACTTGTACTCGTTTTTTTCTGAATTATCAAAAGGGAAAATGTACACAGCAACCAGTAGGTATTAATAAATTTGGACATCTCCCGCGAGTAGTGGCTGAATTCCTCAAACTACCCGAACCACAATTGTATACTGGCAATACTCTAAGAAAGACATCAGAAACTTTGTTGGCAGACTCAGGTGCAGATATAACAGGGCTGAAAAAACGTATGAGAAAAAACCGGAAGCCAATAACAATTCCTCAAAGTTTAAATAATAAAGTACACACTGAAAATACTAGTATAGGGAATATAGATTCATCAACAAATGAAGAAGCTACATATAATGATGAAACTATGTACAATGATGATGCTACATTCAATGACGAAACTCCCTATAATGATGAAGCTACATATAGTGACGAAGCTACGTGTAGTGACAACGCCAACTTCAACAAAAATGAAGTTACTGAAGCAACTACCTCTGCAACTACTATAAACATAAATGAGCACCTAGTTCAAAACAATGTAGAGAACTACAGCACCCATTCAGGACCAATTTCAATTTCATTTACAAATTGCAACAACTTATCCAATTTAACATTTAATATTTATATCCACAAATAGACTGTTTGCTATTTTATTTTAATTTGATTCTTTGCAATAAATATTTTAAATATAATTATATTGTTGCTTGTAATTGGACTATAATTGTCGTTTCATTTTTTTTCTGGACTTTCTACTTTGTTATCAGTTCTATGATAATGATTCATAATAATAAAAATGTACATATAAAGCATATGCAGTGATTATCTATCTCTTAATGAAATACTCAGCACTGTTAGGTCAGATAATTTGGTACTTGATGAGATATAAGTCACTTCCAGCCATGAATTCAATTTTGAATGATATTCAAGGCAAAAATAAAGCTTTGATTTGAAATAATAAGCTTTAAAATTACTTTATATTAGTACAGTCCATATTCACAACATGAAAAGAAAAACCAAGGCCATACATCTGCATTGCAGTAATTATTTCAAACTCTGTCCTATTAAATTATTGATAATGTAAGTAAACCAGCACAAGTTATCATGAGTTAAATATATGCTTTTGTTTCCTGGCTTAATCTAAATCCTCAGGTCTAACAGGATGTGCCAGAGGAACAACTGATTTCTGATTTACATCTCTTGCACAGGCTTTCCTCATATCTATAAAACATTATATAATTACAAATTGTAATAAACAATTAAAGTACATATAGAATCTTACCATAGGCATCTTCATCTGGATCCCCAGAGTAATACTCCAGTACTGTTCGATACACAATATACCCAAGATTTTTATACATATTTATAGCTACCTTATTGCTGACTCTCACAAATAAGTCAACAAAGTAAGCATTCTTCTTTTCACTGACTTCCTCTAGAAAATTCATGAGTGAAGCAGCCAAACCAAGCCTTCTGAAGTCAGGAGCAACTGTGAGTGCTGTGACATGCCCATGCCAGTTATCACCATGGCCTTCTGCTTTACCCATAATGTAACCCATTATTTCCCCACTGGGAGACTCTGCCACTTGAAAGTATTCAGGCCAGTGGGCCAGGTATTGCATGTAGAATGATAAGCCATAAGTTTCAGTTAATGGATCCAGGTTACTGCATGAAACAAAGATTAATTTTTAAGATGAATGTAGTTTGTGTCTACTTACACATTGTTGAATTTGTACATATCATCACATGTAAAAGGTCTTAAAGTTGTCATTTTGTTACTTATTGCAATGAATATTTAATTTAAAATAGCAGCAGAAGGAGATTGAACAATTTTTACTTATTTTAACCAATAAATTTGAAACTTGAATTTGATCATAGTGTGTTTATTGGGTGTTTATATTACTGGGTGGAAGATGGCGTCAGTATTGACACATATACGTATTTTTAAGTAGAATTATTGTATTCAGTCCCAGAATGAACGTATTTTTTTTAATCTCGAATTTTAAATGAAAATGACTTTTGCGGCTGAATACTTCAATATCTTTTTCATCAGTGAAAAATATTATTAAAAAAGAATCGTTTTACACAGTCGCTTGTTTTTCAAAATTTAAGTTGGCAACACTGGGCTACATGCCGGCTCAAGCTTAATATGGCTTTTGCGTTCGCGTGTGTTGCAGTTGTTTATGAGTGTCGTAACTTTGTCCATTATTTTGCCCGTTATCGTTTGTTCATCCATCCGCCAGTGAGAAAATTCTGCCAGAGCTGATCTATCAATCCGAAGGTGAAGAATTCTTTAACTTATTCATGTCCTAAGCTATAAAATATTCAGTTATTGCGTTCGCGGAGCACAACCATAGATATAACTTATAGATTACTCGTACTTGTATGATTGTGAGGACACATTCGCTTTGTTATCTTTGTTTTGTTGGTGCATTCAGGTCATATCGTATCTTAAGGTGTTGTTTTGATAACGCGAGTCTTGTGTTATAGTGAATATGTAGTTTAAAAGATTTTAAATGTGTTTTAAACCGCATCTAAATCTGAATTTTCGTCACACGCCAAAACCTTCATGAAAATTTTATTACTTTCATTTATGAATACGTAATCCATTGTATAGTTTAAAAATATTTATTTATTAGATTTCTACGTGATTTTTACCGGATTAAATTAAATTTTTAGCGTTTGTCAATCTGACGCCACAGCGAAATGACAGGTCCGCAAGAAATTACAGTACGAAATTACAGTTTTTACTAAAGTTAGTAGTTTTGGTTCCCATCACTGGATGGCGCTAGGTTTAAGTCGGTATGCTACTTTCTTCATTGTCATTATGTCATACGCCGATAGATGGCGCTGCACACAACTTTTAAATTTATTTTAGTGTTCTATTTATTTTCAATCAGTCTTATTTTGTGCTTTGTTGTGGTGCGACTTTCGGCGGTTTTAAAGTTAGTTTTTCTTTGGGTGAACGAAGCTATTTAACATTTTCTGTATTGGTTATTTCTGTTTAATTCACCTATTTGCGCATGCATCATCCTAGAAGTTTTATTCATAGGCGTTTGTATTTACATTTAATCTTACGCCGGGTGACAACGAAAAATCTTATCTTGTTATTGATGTGAACATTTTTATCTATTTGCGTGCGGTGAATCTACAATCTTAAACTTGTGTATCCATCTCTAGTATTATTGTTTTTAAATATGATTGATTCTTGGTGAATATTATTGTTTAATTTATTAGTATTATTTTAATAATTAATTGTGATTTCATTTTAGTATTTTGACCATTCTGCGTTAAATTTACGTCCGAAGATCGGCTAACCGTTGAGGTGTCCAGCGTGTCCATTTTTGAATCATCTAAGGCTCACTGCAAAACTTGGTGTAGTACAGAAATTTTTACTTTTTTTTGGGCTGTAATTGTAAATTCTGTTTGCTAATTCTGTTTTATTTATAGGCGGCAGTTAACTTGGCACAACATGTCTTTTCATTACAATATCATATTTGTATACTTGTCCACTTTTATTATGATTAATTTCTATTTAATTTTAGAACTTGGAGCGTAAAGCACTGTGGTGGAATATACCACTCGAGAGACATTCGAAGTTATGTCATATCACCGGCATTGCTACGAAATTAACCAAAAGGACACCTACCAACTGATGGAGAGCGTTTCGACGGGATGCGATACCTCTATATTTTGTCGCCTATCTTGGAGTTACTTCTTGCGCCCACATATTATTTTTTAAACTAGTACAAATAATGCGCATAGGGAATCACACAAAAAAACATCCCTACTTATAAACCACGGACGCATTCATTTAGTTTATTTATTATTAGAATTGTATATATTTAGGGACCTTTGATAATTAACTTGATGAATGCTAGTGGAATGCAGTGTAACTTGCAGTGTAAACTCTTTATAACGATGCTCAAGAATTCTTTGTGTATAAATTTCTACATATAAATTTTCACGTTATTATAAAAACGGTTATTAAGAGATTACATTGTATTGCACATTTGAACGCCTCACGACTATTACTGTATCGCATTATTGTTTGTCGTGCTAATGGAGCGAGTTTGCGCTTATTATTTGTTGGAGGTAATACGCCGCACTGTTGTCTAGTTTTTTCTCGCGGACGGGGCGCCTTTAGAGGTGTCAAATTAAATTCTCCGTGGGGTTGTATTTGTTAGCGGTAGAAGTGACTCGATTCAGGGCACCTTACGGGGCTAGCGGTAAAAGTGACTCGTGTTCAGGGTACCATATGAACCCGTAATACCCGTAGTTATATTGATAGTTGTGTGTATACGCACTTGTACGCATTGCGCTAGGAATTGTAGTTTTTTTATTATAACACGCGAACGCGGCCTTACTTTAAGTTCGGAATAATTTTGTTAGATGCGGAATTGAATTGTGTATCTTCCTGTATCGAAATTTATTGCGAGAAAATTCCGTAACGCGAGTTATATTGATAGTTGTGTGTATACGCACTTGTACGCATTGCGCTAGGAATTGTAGTTTTTTTATTATAACACGCGAACGCGGCCTTACTTTAAGTTCGGAATAATTTTGTTAGATGCGGAATTGGTGGTATCTCCCCTCTTATAAAATTTGGTAGAAAATTCCGTAACGCAGGTTATATTTGATAGTTGTGTAAGCATACTTGTACGCATTGCCGCTAGGAATTGTAGTTTTTATTATATACGCGAACGCGAGTCTTACTAAGTTCGGAATAATTTTATTTAGATGCGGAATTGATTGTGGCATCTCCTTATCGGGAATTTATTGCGGAAAAGTTCCATGGCGCAAGTTATATTGACGCTTGATAGTTGTGTGGCGGCGAAATACGCTTGCTTGTACGCGTGCGCTAGGAATTGTGAAGTTTTTTTATTATATGCTTTCGCGCGACGCGCGGCCACTTGGCTAAAGTTCGGAATAATTTTGTTGGATACGGAATTGAATTGTGTATCTCCTGTATCAACGAAATTTGGCCACGAGGAAATTCCGGTAACAAGGTTATCGTGATAGTGGTGTTAAAAGCCTTTGCCGCAGCGCGCATTGCACGCTAAATTGCTGGATTTTATTATAACTTACGAACGCGGCTAACACAAGTTCGGAATAATTTTGGTGGATGCGGAATTGAATTGTGTATCCTCCCCTGTATCAGAAATTTATTGCGAGAAAGTTCACATGTACCAGTTATGTGATAGTTGTGTGTATACGCACTTGTACGCGATTGCGCTAAGATTGTAGTTTTTATTATAACCGCGAACGCGGTCTTGCGCTAAAGTTCGGAGATAAATTTTGTTAGATGCGGAGGTTGAATTGTGGCAGGCATCTCCCTGTATCAAAATTTATTGCGAGAAAATTTCCGTAACGCGAGTTATATTATTAGTTGATAATGTATACGCACTTGTACGCATTGCGCTGGGAATTGTAGTTTTTTTTTTATTATAACACGCGAACGCTTTGGTCTTACTTTAAGTTCCGGAATAAATTTTGTTAAGATGCGGAATTGGTGTGTATCTCCTGTATCGAAATTTATTGCGAGAAAATTCCGTAACGCAGTTATATTGATGAGTTCACGCGCGCGCGTGCGCGCTAGGGGTTGCTTAGTTTTAATATATAACACGCGAACGCAGCCTTACTTAAGTTCGGAATAATTTTGTTGGGTGGGAATTGGTGTGCTTGTCTCCTGTATCGAAATTTATTGCGAGAAATTCCATCAACGCGAGTTATATTGATGGTTATTATTGTATGCGCGCGGCGCGTGCGCTAGGAATTGTAGTTTTTAATATAACACGCGAACGCGGCCTGCTTTAAGTTCGGAATAATTTTGTTGGATGCACGGAGTTGAATTGTGGCATCTCCTGTATCGAAATTTATTGCGAAAATTCCGTAATAACGCACAAGGTTATATTGATAGTTATTGTATGCACGCGCTTGTACGTGCGCTAGGGTTGTAGTTTTATTATGTACTTACGCAACTACTTGTTGGCCTTACGCTTAAGTTCGGAATGATTTTTTGTTAGATGCGGAATTGGATTGTGTATCTCCTGTATCAGGGGAATTTATTGCGAAGATTCCGGCTTGCGAGTTATATTGATAGTTGTGTGTATACGCGCGCGCATTGCGCTAAGGAATTTGTAGTTTTTTGTTATAACGCGCTTGAGCGCGAGTTCTTACTTTAAGTTCAGGAATAATTTTGTTTAGATTGCAGATTGAATTACAGTATCTCCCTGACATCGAAATTTGTGCGCGCGAAGGTTCCGTAACGCGAGTTATATTGATGATTGTGTACATACGCACTTGTACGCATTGCGCTAGGAATTGCTGGTTTTTTATTATAACGCGTGAACGCGGTCTTATTTTAAATGGAATAATTTTGTTGGATGCATGATTGAATTCCAGTATCTCCTGTATCGAAATTTATTCGAGAAAATTCCGTAACGCGGAGGTTATATATTGATAGTTAATGTATACACGCGCCTTGTACTCGTTGCATACGTTATGGATTTTTATTATAACACGTGAACGCGGATACTTATTTTAAGTGCGGAATAATTTGTTAGATGCGGGTTGAATTGTGTATGTCCCTGTATCGAAATTTATTGCGAAATTCCGTAACGCGAAGGTTATAAATTGATAGTTAAGTATTATACGCGCCTTGTACTCCGTGCGCTGGGTGTAGTTTTTATTATAACACGTGAACGCGGTCTTATTTTAGGTGCAGACCATTTTTGTTAGATGCGGAATTGGTGTGTATCTCCTGTCGGGAATTTGTGCGGAAAATTCCATAACATGAGTTATATTGATAGATGTCAGTAGCCTTTATACGCACTTGTACGCATTGCGCGCTTTAGGAATTGTAGTTTTTATTTATAACACGCGAGCAGTCTTACGCTAAAATGTTAGGAAATGTTAGAGGTGCGCGTATTACAGGGGACGATTTACTTTCAGGATTTAAGGCTGTCTATATTTTCGATTTTAAATAAATATATATGGTTTTAATGTTGCTATTAAGCGCCAATGTAATATTATATGCTTCTTCATATCTCTTTCTGGTTTCCCGTTACCGTTTGGGATTGTTGTCTGCAAACATATTCCATCTGCAAGTGCGATCGAGCATTAAGCCACAATATATAGCTATTGTTTGCGATAAATTTATTTGTTTTTAAAAATTGATTAAAGTAGAAACACATAAATAGAAGAATCAAAATAACAATAATAAAACACTCGGTGGTCAGTGGGCATTACTCCTGCTGGCATGCTAGGAGACACGGATGGAATCTCCAAATTGTGAAGGCATTTTTCTCAAATATAAAATATCAGTGATTTGGGTTGCATATATGAATGCAACGGAATATAAGAAAGTGGAATACAAAGTGAGAGAAGAGGCAATAAGAGTAAGAAAGAGTGAGTAAGTAGAGAAACGGAGAACAAGAGAAATAGAGGAGAAGTAGAAAGAAGGAATAGCAGAAAAGTAGAGGCCAGAAGGAAGAGCAGGTAGAGAAAGAGGAGGAGATAGAAAGAGAACAGGAGTGGATAGAAGTTTTAAATTTTGGCACGTGTCGTTATAAGACAGTCTACGGTCTCGATCTCCCCAGAGCGCCTCCGGCGCTCTGGTCGATCACTCCAACAACTTCGATCAATCCATTGCTCCAGGCACATCCTACAGCTGCAGTATTCTGCGCTTCATCCCGAAATTATCAAGAGCATATCAATTTTACTGGTAGAGTTGTCCACAGGTAGAGGAAACTCCTTTCAGGACTGGCAATCACCCATGCTTAGTACTGGCAAAAAATATTTCTAAGTTTTAAGTCGCCTCAAGAAGTGACACTTAAAATATTCTTACACAAGTTCTGACCTGTACCTGAAATGAGAAAGGAGTACACAAATCCCTTTACCTTACAAGATACCTTAGCAATTTTTTATAGTGGGGATCATCCCCTGAGAGAGGAGCAACTCTTAGAGACCAGTTCTAGTGATAGAAGAGGAACTATTCAAAGCATAAGACATAATATTTCTTAACATTTCTTTATTAATAATAGAATACAAGTTTAAGATTTTTTAGTCAACAAAATACATGTCATACATATTGAAACAGGACTTACCACCTGTTTTAGCCACTTTTGTGTCAGCAAGTACTACTTTTATAAGAAGTACTACCGGGATAAACAAAAATAGTAAATGTAATTTTCTAGGTATTTGAAAATGGAAACAAATATACAGAGTGTTAAAAAAGGAAAATTTAATGTGAAAACAGAAAGTATTTTAACACGACAAAAATATCCATTCGTTTTCACCTGATACTCCAGGAAACTAATATACAGGAGTGTCACGAAAAGAAAATTCAAAAGAGCAATGAGGAAAAACCCTTGAAAATCAATTAAAACAATTAAAACAAAATTTCCACGAGACAAAAGAAAAAAATGAGTATACAGGATGTTTCAGAAGAAAATCTCTAGTTGAAACAAGAACACTTTCAAAAACTCACAAATATGCCGGATTTTCTACGTATTATTTATTGGGAAAACTTAATATATAAATCATCATATCATATAATATCCATAATATATAAACTTATATAAATCATCAGGAAAATTGAACAGAAAGATGGAACAAAAAAATAAAAACACTTACATTTTAACATATTGTAGACATATATTTATTAGTGATGCATCAACTGCATAAAATAACCGACAGGTGAAACATCATCATAAATGACGGCAACGACGGCGCGTAGCAATATAGTTGTTAGAAAAATAAAAAATAACTATTATTTTGTAAATATTAAGATGTAGGAGACGATGAAAACGAAAACTATTCAACGTACAAGATTTGACCTAAGTAAAAAATCTTCTTAATTTAATGATGATATAGGAGTGCAAATCGATAAAAAATATTCGGCACGTGTTCAACGAAAGCCGAGCCATTGACCGACGGCTTAAGAAAGTGGTGGTCGACCATATGAATATTACTTAATTTTAATAATCTTCAGATACTTTTTAAACAGTATTTGTATTAATTAAATCATCCATGTATTGTACCGGAAACAGAACCAAAAAATTTTGATAAAATTCTACTTATATGTTTGTAATTTACCACGAGATGCATGCAAATTACATATCCATAAATAGAATAATGTTTAAGTTGAACCAGCGTAACTTTCGGTAAAAAAATTAATTGCACCTACCTATATACATTGATGCGGGGATTTTTATATCCCAGAATATATTCTATCAACTGAAATACACACTTTTACCCAGATTAATGGACACTTATTTTTTATTCAAGGGAGACTCTAAAACGCAAAATCATTAAACGAGCACACATGCCCATTGCAGGTATTTTGCACGATGGTCGAAGAAGTACACCACGATTAATCCAGTTAAAACCTAAAACACATGGCCATTAGAAGACACGTTCGCGGACCACGCGCGGTGAAACGACTACCGTATTGTGCGCGTGTCGCTTAGCCAGGTACAGGCTGGTGCGTAGCGATAGCCGCGTTACTCGAACAAAAAGTTGTTTATACACAAACGTACTGATAAACTGGTAGTTGAAAAGATGAAACTAAAATTTCACAATATTTGCAATAGCAGCATAAGCAGAAATCACACTTTCAATATTTCTGGGCATAAGAAAAGAAATTATTGGCTTTGGGATGTCATAAGATTGAGAAAAACAGGAATTTAATTTTCCTTTACACATAAATATTTTATTGTCTCCGTAGTTTACTGTATACTTTGTGCAGTGTCATTTTTTTTAGTATTGTTGGTAACAAATATCTTTTAAATTAAGGCAAACGGTTGAAGGTTATGAAAGTTTGGAATATTCTCTATCAGATAAAATTTAAATTATTTCACATTTAATGAAGGCGGTAGCAACTAACGAATTGCTGATTATGAAAGATTGGAAAATTGTCTATCAGATAAAAATATAAAATAATTATATTCCTACAGTAAAGGGTCGAAAATCGCGAGTAAAAGTGCTAAAAAGTGACATTTCAATTTTGCCCATTTCATTCAAACGCGAATATCTCGTAAACTAAAGAGATAATTAAAAAGATCTGATCGCAGCGTGTAATCTACGGACCCATTTCTATCAAGATAGGATAGTTAAACGAAATCTGAGAGATGAAATTTTAATTCTTAAGAAAAAAATTGCCAAAGGGGTGCTTGATACTTTTTTTCGACGATTTTTGATAGCCACATATCTTAAACTAAAGGCGGTAGCAACTAACAGTACTGATTATGAAAGATTGGAGAACTGTCTATCAGATAAAATATAAAATAATTATATTCCACTACAGTAAGGGTCGAAAATCGCGAGTAAAAGTGCTAAAAAGTGACATTTCTCAATTTTGCCCATTTCATTCAAACGCGAATATCTCGTAAACTAAAGAATAGTGATTAAGATCTGATCGCAGCGTCTTAATCTACACGGACAATGCATTTCTATCAGATAGGATAGTTAAAACGGAAATCACCTGAGAGATAAGGGAGAAATTTTAATTCTTAAGAAAAAATTGCCAAAGGGGTACTTGATACTTTTTTTCGACGATTTTTGATAATACATATCTCTTAAACTAAAGGCGGTAGCAACTAACGAATTGCTGATTATGAAAGATTGGAAAATTGTCTATCAGATAAAAATATAAAATAATTATATTTTCTACAGTAAAGGGTCGAAAATCAGTAAAAGTGCTAAAATTTGACATTTCTCAATTTTGCCCATTTCATTCAAACGCGAATATCTTTCGTAAACTAAAAGAATAGTAAGATCTGATCGCAGCGTCTTAATCTACGGACCATTTCCTATCAGATACGTGGATTAAAACGGAAATCTGAGAGATGAAATTTTAATTCGTAAGAAAAAAATTGCCAAGGGGGGGTGCTTGATACTTTTTTTCGACGATTTTTGATAATTCATATCTTTTAAACTAAAGGCGGTAGCAACTGGCAGGTACTGATTATGAAAGATTGGAAAATTGTCTATCAGATAAAATATAAAAATAATTATATTTCCTACAGTAAGGGTCGAAAATCGCAGTAAAAGTGCTAAAAAGTGACATTTCTCAATTTTTGCTTATTTCATTCAAGCGCAAAGATATCGTAAACTAAAAAGAATGAGTAGAATCCTGATCGCAGCGTTTTAATCTACGGACCATTCCTATATGAATGGGATACGTTAAAACGGAAATCTGAGAGATGAAATTTTTAATTCTTAAGAAAAATTGCCAAGGGGTGCTTGATACTTTTTCGACGATTTTGATGATTCATATCTCTTAAGCCTTTAAAGACGGTAGCAACTAACGGAGTACTGGTGCAAAAGATTGGAAAATTGTCTATCAGATAAAATATAAAAATAGTATATTTTCTACAGTAAAAGTCAAAAAATCGCGAGTAAAGTGCTAAAAAAGTGACATTTCTCGAATTTTTGCCATTTCATTCAAACGCGATATCTCAGCCAAACTAAAAGAGATAATTACGATCTGATCGCAGCGTCTTAATCTACGGACCATTTCTATCAGATAGGATGATTCAAACGGAAATCTTAGAGATGAAATTTTAATTCTTAAGAAAAATTGCAAAGGGGGTGCCGGTACTTTTTTACGATTTTTGATAATACATCTCTTAAACTAAAGGCGGTAGCAACTAACGGGTACTGATTATGAAAGATTGGAAATTGTCTATCAGATAAAATACTCAAAATAATTATATTTTTCACAGTAAAGGGTCGAAAATCGCGAGTAAAAGTGCTAAAAGTGACATTTCTCAATTTTGCCCATTTCATGTTCAAACGCGAATGTCTCGTAAACTAAAGAGATAATTAAAGATCTGATCGCAGCGTCTTAATCTACGGACCATTTTCCTATCAGATAGGATAGATTAAAGAACTGAAGTGAGAGATGAAATTTTTAATTCTTAAGAAAAATTGCCAAGGAGGGTGCTTGATACTTTTCGGCGATTTTTGATAATACATATCTCTTAAACTAACGGCGGTAGCAACTAACGAATTGCTGATTGCAGAAAGATTGGAAAATTTTCTATCAGATAAAAATATAAAAATAATTATATTTTCTACAGTAAAGGGTCAAAAAATCACTTGATAAAAGTGCTAAAAGAAGTGACATTTCTCAATTTTTTTGCCCATTTTCATTCAAACATAGATATCGTAAACTAAAAGAATAGTAAGATCTGATCGCAGCGTCTTAATCTACGGACCATTTTCTATCCATTAGGATAGTTAAAGAACAAATCTGAGAGATGAAATTTTTTAATTCGTAAGAAAAATTACCAGGGGGTTAAGCGATACCTTTTCGACGATTTTTGATAATTCATATCTTTTAAACCAAAAGGCAGCGGTAGCAACTAGCGAATTGCTGATTATGAGAAAGATTGGAAAATTGTCTATCAGATAAAGAAATATAAAATAATTATATTTCCTACAGTAAGGGTCCGAAAATCGCGAAAAGTAAAAGTGCTAAAAGTGACATTTTCTCAATTTTGCCATTTCATTTCCAAACGCGAATATCTCGTAAACTAAAGATAATTGAATCTGATCGCAGCATTTTAATCACCACAGACCATTTCTATCGAATAGGATGAATTAAAACGAAATCTGAGAGATGAAATTTTTAATTCTTAAAGAAAAATTGCCAAGAGTGCTTGATACTTTTTTTCGACGATTTTTGATGATTCATATCTCTTAAACTAAAGGCGGTAGCAACTAACGAATTGCTGATTATGAAAGATTGGAAAATTGTCTATCAGATAAAAATATAAAATAATTATATTTTCTACAGTAAAGAGGTCGAAAAATCACTTGAGTAAAGTGCTAAAAGTGACATTTCTCAATTTTTGCCCATTTTCATTCAAACGCGGAAGGTATCTCCGTAAACTAAAAGAGATAATTAAGATCTGATCGCAGCGTCTTAATCTACGGACCATTTTCTATCAGATAGGATAGTTAAAACGGAAATCTGAGAGATGAAATTTTAATTCTTAAGAAAAAATTGCCAAGGAGGGGTGCTTGATACTTTTTTTCGACGATTTTTGATAATACATATCTCTTAAACTAACGGCGGTAGCAACTAACGAATTGCTGATTATGAAAGATTGGAAAATTTTCTATCAGATAAAAATATAAAATAATTATATTTTCTACAGTAAAGGGTCGAAAATCGCGAGTAAAAGTGCTAAAAAGTGACATTTCTCAATTTTTGCCCATTTCATTCAAACGCGAATATCTCGTAAACTAAAAGAGATAATTAAGATCTGATCGCAGCGTCTTGTCACGGACCATTTCTATCCGATGGATAGTTAAAACAAATCTGAGAGATGAAATTTTAATTCGTAAGAAAAAATTGCAAAGGGGTGCTGATACTTTTTTTCGACGATTTTTGATAATTCATATCTTTTAAACTAAAGGCAGTAACAACAGCGAGTACTGATTATGAAAAGATTGGAAAATTGTCTATCAGATAAAATATAAAATAGTATATTTCCTACACGGTAAAGGGTCGAAATCGCAGTAAAAGTGCTAAAAGTGACATTCTCAATTTTGCCCATTTCATTCAAACGCGAATATCTCGTAAACTAAAGAGAATGAGTATTAAGATCTGATCGCAGCGTTTTAATCTACGGACCATTTCCTATCAGATAGGATAGTTAAAACTGAAATCTGAGAGATGAAATTTTAATTCTTAAGAGAAAAATTGCCAAGGGGGTGCTTGATACTTTTTTTTTCGACGATTTTTGATAATCCATATCTGTAAGCCTTCAAAGGCAGTAGCAACCTTAACAGTACTTGATTATGAAAAGATTGGAAAATTGTCTATCCGAATAAAAAATATAAAATAATTATATTTTCTACAGTAAAGGAGTCGAAAATCGCGAGTAAAAGTGCTAAAAGTGACATTTCTCAATTTTGCCCATTTCATTCAAAACACCGGAAATATGTAAGCTAAAAAGATAATTAAGATCTGATCACTTAACTTGTCTTAATCTACGGACCATTTTCTATCGAATAGGATAGTTAAGAGCGGAAATCTAGAGATGAAATTTTAATTCTTAAGAAAAATTGCCAAGGGGGTGCTTACTGATACTTTTCGACGATTTTTGATAATACATATCTCTCTTAACTAAAGGCGGTAGCAACTAACGGAAGTACTGATTATGAAAGATTGGAAAATTGTCTATCAGATAAAAATATAAAAATATTTTATATTTTCTACAGTAAAAGTCCGAAATCGCGGTAAAAGTGCTAAAAGTGACATTTCTCAATTTTGCCCATTCATTCAAACGCGAGCTATCTCGTAAACTAAAAGGAATAATTAAGATCTGATCGCAGCACGTCTTAATCTACGGACCATTTTCTATCGAATAGGATAGTTAAAACGGAAATCTGAGAGATGAAATTTTAATTCTAAGAAAAATTGCCAAGGGGTGCTTGATACTTTTTTCGACGATTTTGATAATACTTATCTCTTAAACTAATGGCGGTAGCAACTAACGAGTACTGATTATGAAAGATTGGAAAATTTTCTATCAGATAAAAATATAAAATAATTATATTTTCTACAGTAAAAGTCGAAAATCTATGAGTAAAAGTGCTAAAAGTGACATTTCTCGAATTTTGCCCATTTCATTCAAACGCGAATATCTCGTAAACTAGAGAGATAATTAAGATAAGTCGCAGCGTGTAATCTACGGACCATTTTCTATCCGATAGATAGTTAAAACAGAAATCTGAGATAAGAAATTTTAATTCGTAAGAAAAATTGCCAAAGGGGTGCTTGATACTTTTTTTCGGCGATTTTTGATAATTCATATCTCTTAACTAAAAACGGTAGCAACTAGCGAGTACTGATTATGAAAAGATTGGAAATTGTCTATCAGATAAAATATAAAATAATTATATTTTCTACAGTAAGGGTCGAAAATCGCGAGTAAAAGTGCTAAAAGTGACATTTTCTCAATTTTGCCCATTTCATTTCAAACGCGAATATCTCTCGTAAACTAAAAGAGATAATTAGATCTGATCGCTGCGTCTTAATCTACGGACCATTTCCTATCAGATAGGATAGTTAAAACGGAAATCTGAGAGATGAAATTTTAATTCTTAAGAAAAAATTGCCAAGGGGGGGTGCTTGATACTTTTTTTCGACGATTTTTGATAATTCATATCTCTTAAACTAAAGGCGGTAGCAACTAGCGAATTGCTGATTATGAAAGATTGGAAAATTGTCTATCAGATAAAAATATAAAATAATTATATTTCCTACAGTAAAGGGTCGAAAATCTACTTGATAAAAGTGCTAAAAAGTGACATTTCTCAATTTTGCCCATTTCATTCAAACGCGAATATCTCGTAAACTAAAAGAATAGTAAGATCTGATCGCAGCGTCTTAATCTACGGACCATTTTCCTATCAGATAGGATAGTTAAAACGGAAATCTGAGATGAAATTTTAATTCTTAAGAAAAATTGCAGAGGGGTGCTTGATACTTTTTGAGCGATTTTTGATAATTCATATCTCTTAAACTAAAGGCGAGCAACTATGATTACTGATTATGAAAAGATTGGAAAATTGTCTATCAGATAAAAATATAAAATAATTATATTTCCTACAGTAAAGGGTCGAAAATCGCGAGTAAAAGTGCTAAAAAGTGACATTTCTCAATTTTTGCCCATTTCATTCAAACGCGAATATCTCGTAAACTAAAAGAGATAATTAAGATCTGATCGCAGCGTCTTAATCTACGGTCCATTTCCTATCAGATAGGATAGTTAAAACGGAAATCTGAGAGATGAAATTTTAATTCTTAAGAAAAAACAGTTAAACAGTTAATTTTATGATTAGCGGGTACGCGACTATCTTATGTATTTGCAAAACGCGGAGGAACGCGATAAATCAAAACAACGTAAATACAAACTAATGGAGGACGCAGAAATTAAAACGAAAAATATAATTGAATTATAAACTTACCAATGCAAAACTCATGGACTCCAGGCATGGCAAATACTGTAAATAAAAAGAGAAAACATAAGTTAAAACAAAAATATTTCATACGATTTCATAATATTATAATCATACAGCAGAGAAAAATAAACAATCTGTGCGGTTTAGTAAAAATTTACTTACACCAGCACGATGGGTCATCATAATGATGAATATCAAATCAACATGGAGGCGATACACTTAACCGGCATTTATGGACAATATACGCGCAAAAGGAAAATAACATTACTATAGTCTGATATATAGATTGATGATCGAATATAATGCGAATTTGGAAAGTAGATGTCCGGACCAACAATACGAGTCGCGTAAAATACGTCTGCATCAACCAGAAACCGGCACGAAACTGGTTGGAAACTGTGCAAGCAACTACGCGACAGTTTATGATAAGAAAACAATAGACACGTTCTTATTGCGATAAGAACTAAACTAAAATGTGCTGCATGCGACAGCGCGACGAGAATTTTACGTGTAGCATCTCGCACGGCGAATGCGATAAGAAAGATGTTTATACACAAACGCTGATGATAGATTTGTCTTCAAAACGAATACAATTCAATTTTATATTTTATTTTTATTTAAAACTCGGCACCTGCCGCATGAATCCTGCAGGTAAAAGCAATAGATGCGCAAAGCCGGCACGCGACCTTGTGCGCGAAATGTAATAGATGCGCAAAGCAGGCTGCGCGAGCGATATGAATTAAACTAAAATAAGCGACAGCGCGACGATAGACGAGAATATTGCGCGTAGCATCTCGCACGGCAAATGCGATAAGAAAGTTACTTATGCACAAACGCGAATAATAGAGCTGTACAAAACGAATACAATTTTACTTTATGATTTTTAAGTTCATGCTAGTGAACTAAAATTTAAATCTTGAAATTATGATTTAAATACTCGCGAATACTCGCCGGAGTATTATTACTTGCCGCACGAAGTACGAGTAAGATATGCGTGCCGGCATCACAACTGTGCACGTCGACTTTTACTCGCTGGAATATTTTTAGTTAAAATATGCATCGTTGCGTCATCTGGACATACTTTCTTGTACTACACGAAAATACCAAGTGTTTCAAAAAGTTTGGCATGCATATGAGTCAGTGAACGACTGCATATGTGTCAGCAAGTGGTCCCGCATTTAAATTGTCGTGTCCGTGTGTCACACGTACACGAAAGTGCGCATGAAGTATCCTATCTAAAGAAATAGCAATTTTTACACCTAACTCAAAACTTCAAATGTAGACGTCGCAAGGATGTACTTATTCAAAATAAATGAATGAAATTATGTAATTTTAATGCAAATAATCAACAATTTTGTAATAAATAAACATTATACACTGTACAAATAATAAATTTAAGTATGTATTTGTCATACAATCACATATTTTCTTTAAAATTTCACAAAAAAAAACCGACGATGCCCACGAGGCGAAACATGTTGTTTAACTCAACAACACCATGAAATTCTAACACGCAACAATACAAATAAATAGTACATTAGCCATGATATTGAATTATGACAATGATATATGAAATAATCATTGTAATTGTAGGCAATATCATTTTGTAATTGATTTCAAACCAACCGTTTGCACTAAATACTGGTTTAACTAAAGCAGTTTCAATCGCAAGTTCCTTTATATCATTTCGATATGATTCAGCTACTTGCAGCATCATTCGATAACAATTTTCTGGTATTTTTTCAATCTCAGTTGAAACATTTTCTCCAGAGAGGAATATATCACGGAAAATCATCTACGAAAATTACCTCTTTTTATCAACAAAACAAGTTTTTTTAAAACTTACCGCTGGTAAAACGCTCCAAACAATAGCCATCAAGCCAAAATATGGCCCAAACTGTTTACCGTCTTCCAAAATATATCCACCCCCATAAACAATAGCTAAGTTGAATGGCACTAATAAATTGATTGTAATGTAAATATAAATACAAACCATATACACTCCATAAACTTTATTAAAAAGCCTAATTGTTATCCAGAGTTTCGTGTATTGCTTGGAGATCCATTCAATATTAAATTTGTAATTGGAGTTCATTGACATATCGCTTATAAATAAACTGGTTGGCTTTAAAGTGTTCAGTACTTCGTTAATATATTGGTAATTGCTGTGTATGATTTTCATGTACGTTTTCATCACACTAGTAGAGATCAGGACTTGATAATGTGTGAATTCTCGTATAATGAAATACCAAGTGTACCAGGAGAGTGAGGTGAGAATTATGGTCAAATTACATGCGATAAACAATCCAAAACCAAAATGCATGCTCACAATTTCGAGGCGTGAATTTTCCGCTTCCTCGGTTTTTAGTTTTAGCTGCGTTGCTTCTAAATTTCGTAGTTGATCTTCCATCATAATATTTTCTTTATTACAGAGATAGTTAATCACAACGATCCGAATCACTGTACAGCAAATTAATATGACATCCGAAGCTAATGCTAAGCTGTAGGACGTTTGTTCAATATGTTGCATGTGTTTCATTCGGCCATAAAACGAAATAGCTGCAGCCGCAACGTTTAATATCAACATAATCATTGGATAAAACATTCTGTATGTCCAGTGTGTTGTTTCATCGCTTGGAATGCATGCAAAAAATTTACCAAGGTTTAATATGGTTCGTGATGACTTGAGTGTGATTCTTTTCATTATCTTTTTTAATAGATACTGTACAATTGTCGGATTCTATTAAGCATTTAAAGTATTCTGCCACTTTGCTACAATTAGTCAGTTATTTTAACATAAAACATCACGCACGTGTTGCACGCGGTACAGTGGTAATAAATTTTATATAATTAAGTAAACATTTGCTTGTCACGTACACTTTTTTTCACCTTAATCGCTTATATTGATTAATTCTGTTCGCACGTTATAAACAACAGCAATAATATGGGCGTGTATCACTTGGCTAGTAATGAGTAATAACATAAATAAAACATAATTCAAAGAACATGGAAGTGTATAAATGTTTTTTTTTTGTTTACTTGAATGACCGACTTTTTGTATAAGTAATTGTGGTACGAAAAAACACACCTGTTGAAAATATTACTATCCACAACACAATTTATCATATCCAATTAGAAATTTATTACAAGGCAATAAAGAATTTTATTTTTGTTTTAAATTTGAAACTTAAAATTATTCATTTGATGTGACAAACATTTGCATTCCCGTGCAGACAATTTAATTGCTTGTCAACTTCACTTGTCCGGAACAGAATCACTGAATAATTTCTGCACTCATTTGCTATAAAAGAAATTTATACTTCTATCCACAGTACAAACAAAATGAATCTGAGTACGGCAATTGAAATATTCCTAGTTTTAACACTGTCGATTCTAATAAACTTTTTAGATTGTAATCGCCATAAACATTTTATTAAAAGTTATATGGAATATAAAATGATCAAACATGCTCAGTTTTATTCTTGTTTCCCCAAATACGGTAATGCAATTATACTATATAACGAGTAAAATTTCAATTAATATTTTATGTTTACAGATATTATACAAACAATTAAAACAAATTCAATACCAATGAAATTTACAAGAATTACATCTTTGAACTGGTTAAATGCAACATTCCATCAAGAAAATATAAACCATTGTAAAAATTATGCATTAAATGGTATATTTGTTGATGCAGATTGTTCAAACTCCAAAGAAATACTCCACATATTAGCTGAGGTTAATTTATGTACAACTATTAACCCATGTGTGTTGCTGTTTTCAACACAATCAACATTTTTAAATGATATTAATATGAACAAAATCGTTGAGAATTACCAACAATTAAAAATTAATGTAAACGCCGATTTAAAATTTATTTTTCCATGCGATGAAGACAACAGTGTTGAATTTATTAAATATCGAATTTATGATGTTTATAAGATTTCTGCCAAATACAACACGAATTTAATTGTTCCTGATATTGGTACCTGGTCGGTTGATAATAAATTTAAACAGATGCGTCAACAATATGGGAAAATTTACGAAGAAAGACGAAATTGGAATGGTGTTAAATTTCAATCTATGTCAGTTGTAAGTAAAAAATTATTATATTGCTATGATTAATATATGTAAACTAGGATTGCCAATGTTTAAGTTACCACTGCCATTTAATGGAACCCCTGAGGAGCATGTCCGGAGTGATGAGCACTTAGAAATAAATCATTTCAATCGACTTACTTGTTTATATATGTTGTACGTTGGAGAGTATCACAATTTTAGGTACTTACATAGGTGTAAATTAAATTACGAATTTACAATTTAGCTCGAATACGTTTTTAGTACTAATGTTACGAAAACAAATTCTTGGGGATATGAAGTTTCCAAAGGAGTTTTTGACGGATTAGTGGGTGGGTTTCAAACCGGTGCAATAGACTTTGCATGTTCGCCATTGTTCTTTGTCAAAGAACGCGCTCAGTTTGTGGACTATGGTTACCGAGTTTGGCGCTTAAAGTAAGTTATCATTGTTATAAACTAATTAATAGCAATACCTATTTTAGAGCTGCGTTTTTATTTCGCCATCCTAAAGCCCAAGCAACATTTGAGGTATTTTTTCTGCCTCTGGATAAAGTTGTATGGTGCCTGATTGCAGTATCTTTGGGCGTTATAATTCTTGTGATGAAATGCATAATTTACTACGAGTACGTACGTAAAGTGAATCCAGATATTGATGTGTCGTGGAGCGCAATTGTTCTGTTTCTTATTGGTGCAGTATGTCAACAAGGATCGCCGACTGTACCTGACTTTATTTCAGGACGAATTCTGACATTATTTGTTTTTGTTTTTGCTATTTTGATCAATCAATTTTACTCTGCTAGTTTAGTAAGCAAAATTCATATAATATTCTTAATTATTTTAAGAACATAATAATAATAATACAAATAATATATTAATGAGTAATATATTATTCTAGGTATCTTCATTATTAATGGAACCGCCAATAACAATAAAAAATCTGCACGATCTCGCAAATAGCGACCTAAAAATCGGTTGTGAAAACGTCCTTTATGCAAAAAAAGCAATGGAACGTATCGGACATGATAAAACATTACACAAATTGCAAGAGAAGCCATATCCAAACACGTCTCTATACCTCTCGCCAGAGGTGGGACTAAAAATAGTGGAAGACGGCGACTATGCTTTCAACGTCGACTTGTCAACTGCGTACCCAATAATTAAAAGAACATTTAATCAGAATACCATGTGTCAAATCGAGGAAGTTGTTTTATATAACAACAACCCGGTTTATAGCAATCATCCGAAAGGCTCAAATCTCGCAAAAGCATTTAACATTGTGTAAGCTTCTCAATACTCCTATTTTTTTTTGTGAATATATTTTTTAATTATTTTAAAGCTTGCAGAAAGCTGGTGAACGTGGAATTATGTACCGCATGACATTAAAGTATAAAGCTAGGAAACCTACATGTATAAAAAGTTTTGTGGTTGCTTCAGCTGTGGGATTGGAACAGTTTTATCCAGCTTTGGTTATTTGGTCGGTTGGCGTTTGGTTAAGTTTGATTATTATAATATTTGAGTGTATTATTCATAGAATTACTATGAGGCAAATGAAAAAAGTAGACAAAAAAGAAATGGTTGTTTATCTGTATGTAAATTAATATTCTTATTATGTAAACTAAACTAAATAGTGGTAATCCATAAATCAAAATATTTTTTGATTTAAAATTGGTATTTACGTTTCAAATTATATTAGTTATTGCTAAATTACTGGCGATATCTGTGAATGTTTCATAAAAGTAGAGGAAATGTTTTAGAGAATGGGGGACTTGCGTTGTTAGCTACGATATTATTTACCAGATGGCGCAACACATATACTAAATAAACTTTATTATTGAAAAATTATTTTGTTTTTTATTAATGTTTACACTATCATTTATACCATAATCATTAGACTAACATATTACAAATACCAGTAGCTAACCGTTAAAATTTTAGTAAAACACGTCATAAATTCCTTTGAAATTGATTAAATCAACAGTTATCATAATCTTGATAACAAATATATCTTATCTGCCAATAATCCACACGAAAATAGATTAAAGAAAAGTTTGGCGACACTCATTGACGATAGTATGAAGTGGCGTGTTTGCAACGCTCGCACAAAATTATAAAATGTGTCAGTGCGGAACCGTTTCCCTGCTGCTGTTATTATTAACAGGTAGGTAACTATTAATAACTAACATCAAATGTAAATCAGAGTGTAAAAACGCGGGCGTGCTGAGAGGAAAATTGCAGGAAACCGCCACAAAGAAAATCAATGAATGCAAAAAACAAACTGCAAGAAAAAGTCGTGTCGTGCGGTGAATGTATGGGTAGTGTGACGTTGTGAAAGGCAGTTCTTTATAAAGCAATAATTTCCTCGGCGAGAAAACGCGCGAAACCCGAGAAGCAGGTGGGCGTGCGGGCGGCTTTCTTTGTGTGCTCGTGTGCGAACAAACAATAACCTCGTGCGGCGATTGCAGAAAAAAAGTTGGCGTGTGCTTTCAGATGATATGCGATACGGGTAATACATTAGGCATGCGAAATTGCTGTTTGCATAATGTTACTTTGTGCTCGAAACGATATTGATTAGGTGTTTTTTTGTTGAAATTTTTCTTTACTTTAGTTTATGTTGAGGACTGCTAAGTGCGTGCAATTGTTTCGCAGTAAAAGGCACGGAAATTGTAGTTTAAAAATTGATAGATAAATTAGATAAATTCAAACATATGTTTGATTCAAGTGGAGTATCTTATCAGTAATGAATAAGGTTACTCACGTATTTAACTAGTCTTTAAAATATATTTTTAAATTTTCAAGATATCTATGCATAAATTAATTTTATTTATTATCCAAAAACATAAGAAAATTAACCAAAGGAATTTAGTGGATTTCCTACATCCTAACATCTCAAAGTTTGGCATTTTGCATACTCTTAAAAGTTTCGCAACTTCCCAATAATATCCACATTGAAAATTGCGTATTCATCAAAGGATTGAAATTTAATATGCACATCAAAATTGAAACGCACCCTCGTTCGGGATGAAGTAGTCGTCGACCCTTCGGCGGGCCGCGGCCTTTCCTTATCCCTTGTAAACCGACAATGATATAGATCCCCCCGCATAATGCCACATAATTCCATCAAACCCTCGTAAAACGACTATGAAAACCGGTCGATCTCACTCACGTTCGCATCGCGACACAATAAAATTATTTTATAGTTGGAACGAGGTAAATCACGGAAAGCATGAAAACCTCCGCTTATACAAAACACTCAATTTAAAGCCATTCAAATCGTAAAGCTTTAAACAGGAACATAAACTTTGCGATTTTGAATTTTTGATTTATGATGGCATCACGATAACACGTACCATTTGCTCCTCCCATTTTTAAAACACGCATGCGCAAGATACTTAAGATATTTTTCTTATAGGTGTACCTATTTTAATTGCACAAGACAGTTCTACAACGGATTCAACCAAAGCCTCAGAGGGTACTACTTCCTCAGAAGTAATAGAAGAGTTTGATCCGAGCAATGCGTATTGTTTTGAATTTACATGGCTTGGACCATCGTATGATAAAACAGTATCATTTGAAAGTACATGCGAGGACTTTGTAAGCGAGAAAAATATTGTCGAGCATGGATTGTGTCGACAACCATTTGTTATCACAAGTATTGTTTACATCAGTTTTGTTTACATTTAAAACAAAATAGTACTAAAAATATTTTGTAGATGACAGCACACTGCCTGATCTGCAATATTTATGGAGGCACAGTAGTTACAAACCTCGTGTATTGCGACGTAAACGAAAAGGAGAAGTGTGCGTAAGATATACATATTTCTTCAATGATGAAGGTATTTAAACACACTTTAATAAAATTTTTTAATTTAAAATTTAATTTTTTTAGTTATGAACATAACTTATCTACGATCGAAGGTTTTCGCCGAAGACGAAGGCGCAGTGACCAGCGGATGCTACACGCAGGAGCACAATGGCATTGCATCCGAATTGTGCGTGTGCGAGCCGCGTGTTGGCGACTATTTCCCATGTAATACCGCCCCCGCAGCATCCACGTTGATAAACGGCGCGATCGTCGCATTAGCATGCATGTTGACGCGATGGCTAATTTAAATTATTCAGTGTGATCCAATATTCTGACCAGCCAATTACTCCCCCTCCCTTCAATCCTCAATACCGGATGCGTCCCATTGTGACACGCATGCAAATTAATGCAGCGCGCACAGGTGCGCTGCGTTTATTTATTGTACACATTTGATAATTAGGCGTCGGAAGCTGACATGAGATGGAATTGATTATTGTGGACGAAGAAAGGGTGACTTTGCAAGTTTGCGTTCTGATTGCGATTGGATGGGATTAGCTGTTAATTAATTAATGTGTTGGGAGTCCGAACTGCAGCATGCTTGAAAACGCTAGAATAACAACTGTTTGTTTATCGTATGTTAGATGAAATTATTAATTATATATATAAATTATTTATGTAGCATATGTTAACAATACTAATTAAACAATTTAATTAAATTATATTTAATAATTCACTATCCTTTAATTAATTTAAATAAAATAATAATTTTACAGAAAATTGAATTTTAGTATTCTTAATATTATTTTAAAATTATATTTGTTGTTATCAGACATAAAACAATGGGAAGTAGTTGCTAAGTTTGTAAATGTCCTGCTGCTTGAATAAATTGGTGCATTTGGTTATTCCCATCGGAAATCATGCGTTGTGCGAAGATATCCTCAGTCATCGTGTGCTCTGATTTCTCCCCATCTTCCAATTCTGCACTTCCGTTGTGCGACCCTTTGACGTCAATGCCGTCAACATGCCCGCGTGCGGGTCGTGCGCAGCATGGATTTAGCTCGAAGGACGGAAGATAAGAAAGAACGGTGCGTCAACGGGACATCATTTCGTTGTCACATAATACCGGCCTCGGAAATAATAGGCGCGCCTCGTGTCGAACTTGTTATTTTGGAACATTAGGGCAGTCGTCATATAAAAGTTACCCTCGTTGCGTGTGCCACGTGCACAATTTTAGCCAAAGATATGATGTTGCGCTAACAGGGTGATTCTGAAGGGTGTGCGATCATGCATGTTTATTTTGATAAATAGGATAAGAATCATATATCGGAGTCGATCTAAACTATATGATATTAATAATTATAATATTTACAATTTTGTTGTTAGAAAATCAAAAAAAAATTGAAATTTTACCCCAGAAGTCGGTAAAATGAAAATGCGCAAGTCCTTCAGGATCAACTTTATGTTTTCTCCTCTGGGTATGTTTTTTGTGATAATATACTGAGAAATAAATTTAATTATCTTCGTTGATCCGCATGCCCGCAAAAAGATTATTCCACTCGGATGACTGAGGTTGACATGAATGCTGCAAATCCGAAAGTTGCTGAATTAATTTTTTAGTCGTAAAAAACTTGTTCGAGCATTAAAAATCGCATACAAAACACATTTTCTTCTGCACAGACGAGTGCCCTAACCCTCGAACCAGCACCAATGCGCCCCCGCTGTAAAAATCTCAGCCCGGCAGTCGATCGACAGTTTTTGAACGCATCCGCTCTTTTGCGTTGTAAAGTGGGGATCCTTTTCGCTCATGCATAATTTACCGGATTTATCATAAAGGATCTTTTTTCACGGCAAGCGGAAATATAATACAAAACAGGCCGAACCAGCCTCCGCAGCACGAACATCCAAATCCGAAAAGTTGGACAGATCCGTACAGAAATAACGGGACATATGAATAATATATACAATGTGATACAATGCAAAATCATAAAAAGGACTTCTCTAACAGATGATAGAGAGTAATTTTATGCGGGGGTGCAGACATTTTTCACGAATTTTAGATGCTTCATTAACCTACAAAGCCGCAACATCGCGAGACTTGTTTTGGTGTCGTTTTTTTCTGCGATTGCTACTAAAAGTGTTCAAAACAACCCTTATGGTACACATTGAATAGATTTGTTGTCAAATAACTTTCAAAATAAAAGACTTTCATTTTCACTTTTAAGACCTGCTGTATATGCAGAGTAGCGTTCAAAAGGAACCCTAAATGACACAATGCTGGCGAGGGGGTGAGTTTTTTCGTGTGGGCCTTTGCACGCAGATAGACGCCATTAGGACGCCCCGGCGTCAATAAAAAACGCGACGCGAAATTATATTATCTTATTTCCCTATTCATAGGGCGGCGTTCGTCCATTAAAACTTTATTCTCGCGGGTGTCATGAGTATGTATAACTGACGTGACACGCAATGAAACATAAAATACATTCAAAGTAAATCATATTTTTGCAGCATAAAATTTGTCGATAATTCTGCTTAAAAATGCGCAAAACTCTTAATTTTGTGCCATGTTAAAAACTTTTGTTACATTTTATTAACTTATATTTCATGTTCATGCGTACAGGCATAACACGTGCGGTAATTCCTTTGTGTTTGGCGAATTTTTTGCCAGTTGGATTTTATTAAAGAAATATTACGCTTAGAGTTGCAACTCTCCATTTTCCGACAATAAATCGAGAAAATACTCCGCGGTTCGGCGGATAAACTTTTTATTTATGCAGAAGTTGTGCAACCATTGTGCGGTGAACGCTGCTGCCCCAGCCAAACCAAAAACCACCCCGTAACCGCACCAAGAGTTGCGGAAAAGAAAAGTATTTACTCCTTTACTCCGTCTTGTTGGGTATTTATTGCGAATGTATTTCGGAAAACTCGGATACTTTCTGGGTCTTTACATCTTTAGATATGTGCATGTTCGGATGTCTAGATTTGGGAAATATTTTTTCTAAGCACCGGAAATACGGCAAACACAACGCACAAATGAAAAGCAAGTAGAAAAAGTCGGTGTGCCGGGGAAAAAATACAAGTTTATTTAGATGTTTTTTCGATGCGTATTACGAAGCGTTTATAAGGCCGTTTCCGGACGCAAATAAAATGCGAAAAGGAGGCGAAAGCCAGGAAACGATAAAAAAGAAGCAAATAAGGAGAAAAAATACGAAAGTTGTGCGGGTGTGGAAAAAAGAAAGAAACACGAACGCAGAGAATTGGAAATACCCCTAAGACTTGACTGGAAATAAGAATACGAAATGTTTGACCAAGGGGATGAAAAAATACGTGTAAATATTAAAGTTAAAAGAAACTAAGCTACTAACAGACTAAAAGAACTACAACTAGAAGAATTAACTATCAAAATGTTTACTTTTACGATTAAAATCCTCTTAAAGGGAAAGTTGTTTCCTTTTTTCGGAAACCGTTAATCTATTATTACAGACAACACTTTTATCAACTTAAGTTTAAAAAAATAACACTTGCTATATTTTTAATACTGAATTCGCTGTGATTTTTATTAGATATTGGCTTTATTTTTGAATCAAGAACCGAAAATTGGTAGATTTTTCCTCGTCGTCTATAAAATATTTCTACCCCCAAGGCAATAGACGCCGCAGCGTTCTACAAAGGAACATTTTGTATATTCGATTTCTGCGGCACGTTACAAGGGTGGTTTTCTCGCAGCCACGTGTAGCGCTCGCCGTGGTTGATGCAGTGAAAATCGCTGAAATCGAATTTGACCCCCGGAGCCGCAGCTTCGGCCACCGAAAAGCCGTTAAGTCCACCAAAGACCGGATGCAATCCTAAGACTTGGACATGGGTCAAAGTACAATCTTTTCATTCACCACCACCAAAAAAAAAAAAATTCAAAAAAGTAAATAATATAAAGTTTTAATAATGAATTAAATTCTTTTGTTTTTGCTTTGAGTATGAAATTGAATATGTAAATGTAAATGTGTGCGTCGGTGTGTTTTGCAACTCAACTATTTGATGTTAAGAGTTCAGGGGTTGCGCGCTGCGCATTCGGATGGAGATGCAATCATTACGCGGGCGTCTAACAACGTATGTAAATCCGGCCGCAAAATGGTATGTATATAGCGATATTATGCAAATGCGGTCGCTCCCTAGACGCGGGAATCCGCGATATTCTTTGTGCTTTATAATAAGTGCGACCCACCCTCCAACCCTCTAACGGTGCCTTCGCTGTGCACTATCAACAAACTGCTGGGAAAGCTTTTCGAACACCCACACAACTTCATTACCTTCGAGAGCCAACCCAGCCAACCCTATCACAGCTACACTGTGTATACAAGTAAAATTAGTAATAAATTTAATAAATTTTCAATTAAATTTTAATAAAACGCATTAATATAGATATTAATAATTAATTGTTTTAAAATTATTTTAAAGTTTTGTTAATTTTTTGTTTTTACGGGTTAAAATGGTAGAATTTTAAATAAAAATATGACATTATTTCTGCCGGACAAGAAAAGCGACACTAAACTGTAACTTGTCGCATATATTGCACATGCAACTTGGCCGCGGGGCTGCATTCTTAGCTGCACTCAAGGGACGGTTTTCAGGTCGCGGTATTAGTGGCGATGAAGCGTTTGCACTTTCGTAGAATAGATAAGCTCGCGCTCCGCGTGCGCACAATACAATTTAAAACAGAGATTCGTTCCAGCGCTGCCACCATGGGGCGGAATATGAGAAGTGCAGCCCGCTTCCGGCACTTTATTTATTATCTTTTGGCCTTTTATTGCCGTCGGGTGCTATGCGGTGTTGTTCGCCTATGGCTCGGTGATATTTATGAAAACCGACTTCTATTAATAATCCTGGAAAATTATATTTTATTGTGAATTTAATACCGGCGGAATTTTTACGAGCCCTAGATTTCCTGATTTATCGCAATAATTATACTTTACTGAAATCTGAAATAATATGCGGATTATAAGGAAAAAATTGCAATTTCGTAAGCTATTAATTTAAAACTTACATCTTGTTTGCGTTCGCATGCAGCATCACTAATTGACAAGTTGCTTTGGCGTAATTTTATCAACAGAGATAATGCGCTCGCAAACTTTTCTTATTCAGGACGCGGTGCCGGATGTGCTAAATGCAATAAGTTGCAATTGTTTCCGAGGGCGGCGAGGCGACGCCACTTGCGCAAACTTTGCGCGCGCACGGATGGCGGCGGCCATATTTTCATTATGAGCTTAGCGCGTGTTTTCCACCGCCGCCGCTGCCGCCACTTTGCATAGACCGGAAGCGCGCAACCAAGTGTCGTTCGGAATAAAGGAATATCAACTGAAATAAAATGAAACAATACACAATGCACGCCAAGACTCAATTAAAAGTTTCGTTTGAGAGTTATAATTAAGTAATGACATTTGCGGATGTTAAGTCTCCGCCTATATATATATATATCAACCTTCAGATAATGGAAAATTCTTTCATGATCGACATTCTTTGTCCGCCATGTTTGTTTCATCCAAGGAAAATATTTCCGGCCTAAGTAAACCCCTGCGGACGTTCCCTTGTCCCACATGTGCAAATATGCCCTAATACCGTGTGTGTCAGCAGTGTGTGCACATAATGACATCGTCTGCAAGGGGCGGATAGTCGAACGTCAACAAAACGTTCCGGTAATGAGAAAAATATTCGAAAAACAGCATTG